GTTCTCCAACCCTTCTAACTCCTCAGTACTACAAAAGCCCTGTGTTTTCACCCTTTTCAGTCTCACTTCTTGACTGCTGTTATACAGATGACTTATTCTCTCTCTTTCTCTAACATAATCTTTTATTTATATGCAAGAGACTCTATTACAACAACTTGGAACAAAGCCTGATTTTGTCAAGTAGTTGATTTAAAGGATTTGCATTTCTAAACATTCTGTATGCATTTTAATGCACATAAATAAGAAAACCATCTGTGCATTTCTTTCTTTATTTGAAACTATGCTTGGCAAACAATCATTGCAATTATAAGTAGCATACCATTAAGCATATGGTTAAATGACAACGTATTTGCTAATTTCGAGATCAATTCACTTGAAAGCACTTCTTTGTTTAATATTAAAATTCATAAATCAAAGTTTCATAATAAAAAAAGACATCTATCTGTAAAATAATGTTGCTTTGCCTCAGGAGAAAATACATGATCATTGTGTCCAGAGGTTTAGAGCTGTACATAAAGTTAGGTTCTTGGCACAGTTCAACATCCCACTTGGCCTCTTGCTCAAGGAAACATTTGTTAAATTCTGACAATCTCAGACACTGTGCCTGGAAAATATTTACCACTTCTATATGAACTTAAGGAGACCTCATCTGAGCACCAATATGTATTACTGCGGTTCTTGCCAGCCCATAATGAAATGTCACAGTCCTCAAACAAAAGATTCTGTATGAATGTATGAATATCCCACTTCCTCCCAGTAATCTTTTAATCCCAGGATACAAGACAAATAACATACAGGAGATCAGGCCTTATATAAAAAAGGACATAGTACATAAACTTAAGCAATTTAGAGGCTTAGGTCCCCTTTAACATTAATTTCTTCTCACTTTTTTATGGAAGATGATAAAGTCTGCTTGTGAATGCCCACATAAAAAGTGTAATTGTGGATTATCTCTCAAGTCTTGGAAAAAAATATGCTTTAATTTGTATTAAAAGTATCATTTTATGGAGCTGTTTGGCCCATAAATTCAGCATGGCATCTGATATTTAGGCTACATTCTTTCTTGCTCCAGGATCTCTCCCATGCTAATATTTTCTGTTAAAAAATTGGATGAGTGATGCATTAGCTGAAAGTTTCCAACATATTGTCGCAACAACACATTTACTCAGCAGAATGAACATCAAAACATATGGAAGAGAAGAAAATGGATTTTAAACTGTCTAGTCTCAATTAACTGTATAAGATAATGTTGTCTTTCCTTGATTACACTCTTCACATGTAAAAATTAAAATAAATTAACAGAAGTATATGCAGACACATTTCCTTTGGACAGAGCTGAACAAACTCCTCTATAAAACAGCTCATTCTGTTTTACCAGTGAGAGTGTATAGCAATGAACCACAAGGTGCCAGCTTCTACCTGGCAAGAAAATATGTACTGGAAAATAAAAACATTAGGAGGTCAAAGGATGAGACAAAGTGATACATCTGAAATTTTTGGTCTGAAACTCCAATTAGAAAGTACACACCTGCCATAATCATAAAAGTTGGAGGAAGACTATGGAGTTTTGAAAGGGCCATCTGGAGACACCAAGTAATATGAGCAATATGGTACTTGTTTATTAGCTACCAGAAACTAAAATAGATCAGGTCATGTTTCCTTTTTGTGTAATTTGCCAGAGGAGACAAATGCACAGTTGATGTAAAGTAGAGGTAATACTTGGCATGTTTAGGATTTAAAATCTGTTGTGGTGAAGGGCACTTGTAGTTTTCCATCAACTCAGTGAACAGGAGCAGCATAGGGCACAAGTGGATCTTCCCCTGTGAGGGTTTTTTGTACTTAGAGAGCAAAAGAAAACATTTTTTAAGACCAGTGCAGAAGAGCTTGGGCGAGTCAGCTCCCACAAGTAAATTGATGCAGCTTTTTTCCTTTTACTTACTTTCTCTGTGCTTTTCAGTGGAAGAACAAGCCTTTCTGTGCTCTTCACTCTTGCTCTGATCAATCTTCTAAACTTTCCAAACCATATGGAAAATGGATTTTTTGTTTGTCACAGAATGAATGTAAGGTATTGACTAAATCAATCTCTGATCCTTTCCTGTCCTCTGAAAATGTATTTAATTTTGTCAATGCAATAATCTCAGTAGGAGAACCCAAGAAGTCACCTTCAGGTTTTGCTATAGCTACCAGTTTAGAGTGTTACTCTGGTATGCAAGTCATGGGCTTAGACCTTTATCAAATCCACTAGACATCTTAATTCAAACAAAACTCCACTATGATGTTTGATTAGAGATCTATCTTATTAATACCAGCATAAGGACAACAAACAGAATTTACAATATTTGGCCTGTTTTTCCTGTAAATTAGTTCTCTTAACCCACTGTAGCCTCACAATTGCTCTATACTGCTTTTCACTGCCCTGCATATTTTTTCCCATAACCTCCTTCATAAAACTTTAGCAGAAATTCCATGTAGTTGCGGAGACTTGATAGTTTCATTTGTGCTAAATTACTAAATGCTTCCACCTCACTGGTCACAAAATCATTCAGAGTACTGAATTTGTGCATACACAAATTGATGTGTCAGATGGCATATTTGTCCTGGTCTCTCAAGTAAATACACTGGAGAAGCATCCCTGTAATTGTATGCTTTATCATTCTGCCTATCTTCTTTTCTAATTCCCCCATCTGATAGTTTAATTTCTTTCTTCAGTGAATTCTGGGGGTTTTTTTTTCCTAAAAACAAGTCTTGTATATGTGTTTCTACAGGTCTGCTTTTAGTTCTCCTGGCATTACTAATACATTCTTTTTATAGTATTCAGTGTTTTGCTTAAATTATTTTTGTGATTTATGTCTTCTTCTGTTGTTCCTTACAATTTTCACATAGTTGTTGACTTTTACTCTTGTCTAAATTTGTCTAGTGATTTTATACTATAGTCTTATGCTGAATAAATATTTATATTAAATAGGATATTTATTACTGAGTCCTTCATATTTCACTCAAGTTCACTAGGAACTTTCAGATGCTTGTTTTGGTTAATGTTACAAATAATTATTTTGCAAAATTTTAAGTCTGAAGTAAAGCAATAATAGTAATGCCCTGAATCCTAGACATGACCTAGAGGTCCCCTGTTCCCCACCCCAATTCTGTTTTCTTAGTATTGCTAATTTCACTTTGTATTATAAACTAATTTAACATTTCATTCAGCATTTATTGTTTCATCATCTCCAAGAGTGATAAATAGCAATATTGTGCCCTTTGGATGACCCAGGCAGGACAAGTAGCCTTTAGGACTGCCTCTGTCACAAGCCCAATTTTCTAGTCTAGGATGCAGGAAGCAGGAGATTTGTAATACACAGCGACAATTCAGAAAATTCAATTCTGCCTTCTGTGCCACAGGCATCACTGTGGAGAACTCAGAGCCAGCAAAGATGCTCTATGTCCAGAATTAGTCTTCTCTGCATAGCTAGGATAAAAGGTTTCTAAATGAACGATGGATCAGGCCTTGGGGGAAGATTTTATGTAAACTGTAAATTATAACAGTTTAGACTCCTTCAGGCTAATCTCTGATGCTGGCCATTAGTCCTTTTCTGCTGTAATGTGAGCCATAATAGTTTCATTCACTTTGCTCTTTTAATTATACACATCTAATGAATATTACTAGGCTTTGTTTCCCCCTTGTATTCTGTCTTTTTGAAATATTGTGTGACCTGAACTTACAACCTCAATGATGGATCTTTAATGATCTGTAGGCAATGAGCCTCATAATTTCCCCTTGCCAAATAAGCTTTCATTTCAGACAATTTTATTACTCCTTAGCAATATAAACACAAGTATGCCTGTTTTGTTTATGAGAGTTTTCATTCTTGGTGTTTTATCCATCGCTCATTTATTGCATTTCTGCAGTTATCATAGCTTTTTCAGTTTAAATACCCAACTAGAATACCCTTTAGAATGAACAATTGAACTGGCCAGTACTCATGCCTGACACAACTGGCCTGACTCATGCAGGGTATTCAAAAGCACATGGTATGTGGATGAAATTTTACAATGTTCAGATTTATCTTGCACTGCAATGAGAACATCAGTATCTGATCTTAGCCGGAATAAGGGTTTCTTTCTTCCAAAGCATAAGGACCTGCATTTACCTCTGCACATTGCATGCTTCTAAAGGACTTTGTGTGTCTTGTACTGGGAAAGGCTAGTATCTTACAAAGGTCTCCTCCTTACAGTTAGTTTATTTCCTTTCTCATCCAAAGCATACACTGGGAACACAGGTATTGGGATGCTCACTTCATCCTATCACCTTCCGTTAACTGGGAAAAATTTGTGATTATGGCAAGCACAGTTGAATAAAAACCAAATGGAAGTCTCCTGCTGACACTGAAGCTGAATTAGGTAGAAAGGACAAAACACTATTTAACACTTCTGTGTCGAGTTGATAGACAATTTCAGTCAAGGCTGATAGCTATGTTGACTATCCAGTAGGAAATCAGTGTTTCGGCCCCACTGCAAGTCATAAGGCTGAATATAATTCTATTATACTTGCAACAGGACTAACTCAGGCTGTTAATGATGCCAGATATTGGATCCAGGTGTTAGAATAGAATATATATGCTCCTAGAACCACAGAATAAAATCATGGAATCGTCAAGGTTGGAAGAGACCTTTAAGATCATCAACCCAGCACTGTCACTGTATTCCCTAAACCACTTAACCATGTCACCCAGTGCCAGACCCAGACATATCTTAAACACCTCCAGGGATGGTAACTCTACCACCTCCTTGGGAAATTATCATCTCCTTGGGAAACCTATTCCAATGCCTAATGGGCCTCACAGTGAATTTTTTCTTTCCAATATCTAATCTGAATCTCCCCTGCCTCAGTTTAAGGCTGTTTCCTGTTGTCTTTTAACTGTAGCCATGGTAAAAGGGATCAGTCCTTACAACAACCTCCTTTCAGGTAGCCACAGAAAGCAATGAGGTTTCTCTTAAGACTCTTTTCAAGACTAAACAAACCCAGCTCCCTCAGTCCTTCATCATAAGACATGTTCTCTAGTCCTTTCATAAGCTTTGTTGCCTTTTGCTGAACATGTTCTCGCACCCCAACATGCTTTTTAAAGTGAGGGACCCAGAACTGGACACAGTATTCAAGGTGTGGCCTCACCAATGCAAGTACAAGGGTATGATCACTTCCTTAGTCCTGCTGACTACACTATTCTTTACATAGGTTGAGATGCCATTGGTCTTCTTGGTCACCTGGGCACACTCAACCAGCACCTCCAAGTCCCTTTCTGCCAAACAGCTCTGGAGCCACTCCTCCCAAAGCCTCCTCTAGCATCCCTCCTGAGTGCTTTTAACTAGGAACTTTCCTCACATTTCCTAGTACCCTTCAAGGGTGCAGATGAGAAAATGTCACTGATTATTCAAACCAGAAAGGTGGTGAGAGAGGAAACACAAAGATACAGGAAACCATGCATCATGTAAGGTTTCAGAGGAGATTTTGTCTTCTTGAGAGGATGATTTTTTTCTGTCTTTCCAACATAAACTAAGCACACACATGCATATTCTGGTCTAAGCTGCAATATTCCATCTCACCTGTTACAGGGTGTTGACTTGTGTGGTTAACTTCTCCCACTGTCAGCTATACTACTGACAAAATATCATCACTAACAGAAATTACCTTAGAATTTTTCTTTGGAGCTATTTACTATGCCCTTATGTTATCATGCAAAAGAACTATAGGGTGTACTCATAGCTTCCTTTGATACCATCAAAAGGACAAAGAAGCAAATAACCAGATATTTCTCTAAGTTCTGTAAACAGATCCTTGAAAGCCATAAAAGTCTGTCACAGTTCAATTACAGAAACAGACTTCACTAAAAATATCTGTCCACAGAAATCTAAGAAAACACATAAGAACATTTGCAACAACCCCTGCTGTCTTTTCAATGGATAATTGCAGTACCTACTTTCCTGAGCATCAATATATGAATAATAAAGGAAAACAAGAAATAACAAATGTAGAAATACTGCTGACTTGCTATTGCCAGATGTCAGATTTGTTCTACTAGATAGGGAACAAAGAAAATAAGCAGGAAAATGTCTTTGATATGTCTTGATTGTTTAACAGTTTGTTCCTGTCAGCAACCTCTTAGAAACTTCATCGCAGTGAAGTAGCTTTTCCCCAGAGATAGTTGATAATATGCTTATTTGGTTGGGAATCACAAAGTTTTTTGTGCTGTAGGTATGTAATATTATCCAGCAGAGGAACCTATTTTTTTGCTCTGATTACACCTGCAGCCCTAACTCCAGAATGCTCTACAGTCTCTCCAACACAGCCTTCTTTGATCTGTGCTGCTGTAGGAAGGTGTAGAAGTATAGCAAAAATTTTCAACAAGAAGAACTATTCATTGAGGTATCAATACCCATGAATAGAACTGTTGCCTTTTTTTGGTCATTGAATATCTGTTAGATTAAAGCTGTACCTGGATTTATATATGCTAAGGGAGAACTTTTTTTACAAAAGAAAACATTGACTGAAAATTGTAGCAAATAATGATAAAGTGAAATCAAAGAAAGAGAGGAAGACCACACATGGCTTTGAGGCACAATCTTTTATCTAGAAGCAAAATCAGTCAGAAATTTTGGTCATAAATAAAACTAGGACTTTTCACACTTTTTACATATTTGTACCAATTACTCCTTGTCCTATCCCTACAGTTCCTTAGGAGTCCTTCTGTGGCTTCCCTGTAGGCCCCCTTCAGATACTGGAAGGTTGCTATGAGGTCTCCACATAAGCTCCTCTTCTCCAGGTTGAGCAGGTCCAGCTTTCTCAGCCTGTCTTCATAGCAAGGTGCTCCAGTCCTCCTATAAAATTTGTAGCCCTCCTCTGGACTTGTGCCAACAGTTCCATGTCCTTCTTATGCTGGGGGCATTTTTTTCAAGTTCCTTGACTTTGCATAGAAAACCTTGCATTACAATGCTACGCAATATTTTTCATAAACTGTATTATGCAAATCATGTGGCACAGTGACTAATTTAATATTTGTATTTTTCCCTAATAATGGGATATCCCTAAGAATGGGAAAATCATTCATTCATAGTTACTGCTAATAATTCAATGTTCAGTATTTGCTTCTAGGCCACTGGTACCTGATGTTACACCTGCAATAAGGTACTTCAAGACAACATGGCCACTCAGGGGATTGGGAACGAAGCAGGACAGTAAAGTGCAACTCTGCTGCCTTTAGTTGCAGCAAGCATCAAAAATCCAGTACTTCCCCATAACCTCTGTGTGTGCTATATGACACCCCTCAGAGGTTGTCTATCTTAAATCAATCAGCAACTCATAAAGTTGTCCAAAAGAAACAGTGAGGCAGTCATTACAAACTGTTCACTCCCTCCCACGAGTAATTAAAGAATCATCAGGGATGCTTCCCAAATTCTCTTTTTAATCTGTAGTCAGCTACAGTCTGACAGTAGCAGTCAGCTACTGCAATGTAGGACAAATATAACAAAATCCCTAGCAAATTCCCTGTAAATTTTGAAATCTCCAGAAGTATAAAGCACTATTTCACCAGAGGATGCAAATGAAAATCTTAGGCATATAGATCTGCTCAGCTGTGCATGTAGTGGCATGTACTCATTGAAGATAAAACAATGGTGGGGAAAAAAGGATTAATAGTTACTGAAAGTTTTCAAGGCACTGAAGTCAAATCTATCTTGATGGAGTTGTCAAACCACACAATTGAAAGAAAAGTGCGCAGGTCAAATACAGGAGCCATATTCAGTTGACAGTTTTTAAATTCCCTATGATAAAATTGGAATTTTCTTCGTATGCCCTCGGGAACTTGCTGATAGTTGTTGAAGCACGTGTTCTTTTCTATATAACTCACTTACTCAGAAACACAGGATGTGCAAATGGTCTGAAAAAATCCCACTGTTTCACCAAGATTCTTTTAGATTTAGACATTTTGTTTCATCAAAGTTAAACTGAGGATCTCCAAAGTCCAAACTGCCCTTCAAAATTATGAAAAACCAAGAGTGATATTTGTTCAGGCTCAGAATAAGTTCTCTATAGCAATGATCTGTCTCATAGTCCCTAAAATCTACGTTAATAATGATTATAATTGCCATCAAGAAGACAGAGAGGCTGTGAATTACTGGCTTTCAGGCTTGAAACTCTTATTTTATTTTATGGAAGATAAAGGTGCTGCTCAAACTCTAAAAACTAGAGAAACCTGTGGTGATGTATGTACAATGATTGCAGTTTGCCAATGCCTTTTAACTACTTCATCGCAAGAAAGAAAAGTTGCGTAAAAATGCAAATTTCCCTTTTCTTGTTCCTTCTTAATGCACTGGAACATCTGTATCTAAGGCATCAATTTGAAAACTAGATTATCAAAGATTTTTTTTTTCATAAAAAAATATTAGTTCAGGAACGTAAAGCTGAGATTATTGAGAAGGTTGTTTTGAACAGTCAGACCTGTGCTATGTCTGAGTTCAAAGCTGTTTTGGCTGCAGTGTATATTGCTGTGAAATTGAGGCAGGTGGTATCTTCAGACAGAGATAAAAATAAACAAAAAGTGTTGAAATCTACAAATTGGAAAACTTATTTGTCATATAACATCCCCCATTACATGATCCCAAGAGACATGCAAGCCTGAAACTATTTCAGAGGTGGTAATAGCATAAACCATCATTCTGAGAGATGATTATTAAGAACATCTGATTTCTGTTCTATATATCATTCATTACTCCTGATTCGATCACCTGTGGAGACATCCATGTCTTGTCTATAACTGCATGGTCCTGAGATTTTCAATCTTTCTTAGCACAAAGAATTTTCTCCTTTTATTTTTTTAAGTCTGTTTTTCAAATCCCTGTATTCCTAATGTTTCTAAGATGAACTGTTACAGAAGGTAGCATCACAGAAGGATTTATATAATGACAGCCTATCAGTTTGATTTCGATCTGTTACTTTGTGTTACAGGCACCAAAATTTTACAAGTTGAGTTCAGTTGTTTTGTCTACAACAGAACATATAACTGCTAGGCTGCCCAGGGTGGGACTGCAGCTTGTGTGTGTATCACATGTCTGAACTACCTTTAGATGTGCTTCTTTGCATGAGGAAGGTAGAGTGGTTCAGCATGGGCTATAAAGCTCTCCTGAGCAGCTATGCATATATACATATACTTTTTTTTTTTTTGAAGCAATTAGGCTGAGATCTGTGTTGCTGTGACTGCACTGCCAGGAGTACCTGAACCAGCTCTTTTAAAATGAGCTTCGGCAACACGTGAGCTGGAGTTGCCATAGCCCTGCCAGGTAGCCCAGTTCAATCAAGAGGTACAGAGAACAGAGGGAAGCAATCTCAACCTCAACTCTGTGTCCTTTGTTATCTGTCCTGTAACATGCAGCTAGAAATTAGGCAGCTTTCATTTTTCAAGTAGATTCTACCTAATTGGGCTCTCTGGAAACAGAAGCTTCCATACAGTAACAAGGATAGTGTAAGTACTCAACAGACGACATGGAGTATGTATACATAGCACGATACACAAGGAGTGTTGTCCAGGTGTCTAAGACTGCACTGGTTTTTTTGAAAATAAGGTCACACATATAAATATGTCAATAAGGAAATGAAAACTTAATATTATCCATTCACTTTCTGTAATATTTTTATTTCAACTGTGGTCTACAAGATAAATGTTAAATTACCAAATTCTGAGTCCTCTGTCTGACTGACTGTCATGCTTGTTCTTCTGAGATACATAATAAGGTTGAAGATAAACTCTCAAAAAACTGTGTCAAGAGAAAAAGCTTAATTATGGGTGTTTCTGTGAGATGCAACATTTAAGATATTCTTAAGATATTCAGCATGTATGATGAATTATTTACTGAAAGTCCCAGTGTAAAAGTAATTTATTACCTTCATATCTTTACAATAGAAAATTTTTTAAAATGCATGTTGTGCAAGTGTAGCAATCTATTGTTTAATGATGTCTTCTTCTTCTGCGATTTAGGTGTCTACAAGAATATAAACTTCAGAGGAAAGGGCACAACGATTAATTCTGAGCAAAACATCAAGGTCTGAAACATCCAATTTATACCCACACAGAGGAGAAAAGGAAAAAAAAGGTGAAAATCCAAACCATTTCAAGTTACATTTCCTAGGCTGTATAAAAGTGTCTCATATTTTAAATATCATGCAGGAGGAATACTTGGATTTATACTGTGATGTCAGTAATTGTAGGGCAGAATTTGTAATATACCTTGCTTTCAAGCATTATGAAAATGTTTACAAAGAGAAACTCCAGTGGGCCTAGTACATAACTGAAAACTGAGAGATGATGAGGATTGCATAATTGGATCCACAAAGGTGGGGTATTTACATAAGGATTCACGTCAAGGATGGATGGAGATCAGATATTTTGGGACTAATCAGCTATCTATAGTGGTAGCACGTAATGCTGAAATATCCATTCAGTCAGGGGAAAAAAAACAAACACCATCTGGTTTTGCTAAATTACCTGTTCATTCTGCTTCTACAAATAGAGTAATATGACTGCAAATATAAGGTTGGTGTCATACCTATTGATATAATTCTGAATATGACAGTAGTATCTAGAAACTCTAGTTAAGAGGGAGGCATGACTGTGATTGGATATTGCACAAACACTTCACACAACAGACTTCTGTTTAAGGAGCTCAGCTGTATACAGGAGAGAGAAAAGTTGGGAAGAAGCAAACATTGATGCCCCATTTTCTGAATGGATAACATGTCAAACAAAAACTTAGTGATTGCCATGTGCAGTGGTTAATGTCAAAGGAGTTTAGGTTTCAAATAACTTTGAAACTCTAGACTGAAATTCTGTGTCCTAGTATGCAGCTAATTAAAGAACCAAATCCTAACGTGCTGAAAACTCAGTTGAGAGTTTTAACTGAAATACATTCAAAATCTGTCAAAACCAAAAAACACCAAACATAGAATCATAAAATAGTTTGATTTGGAAGGGACCATTATAGGCCATCTAGTTCCAACTCCCCTGCCATGGGCAGGGACATCTTAAACCAGATCAGGCCGCTCAAAGCCCCATCCAACCTGGACTTGAATATTTCCCGGGACAGGGCACCCACAACTTCTTTGAGCAGCCTGTTTCTGTACCTCACCACTCTCATTGTAAAAAACTACTTCCTTATATCTCATCTAAATCAATCCTTCTTCAGTGTAAAACCGTTGCCCCTTGTCCTATCACAATAGACCCTGCCAAAATATATGTCCTCGTGTTTGCTGTAGGCTCCCTTCAGGAACTGGAAGGATGCTATAAGGTTATCCCATAGCCTTCTCTTCCCTAGGCTGAAGAATCCCAACTCTCTCAGCCTGTCTTCATAGGAGAGGTGCTTCATTCCTCTGATCATCCTTGAGGCCCTCCTCTGGACTGCTCTGACAGGTCCATGTCTTTCTTGTTCAGAGGCCCCAGAGGTGGATGCAGTACTCCAGGTAGGGTCTCACCAAAGCAGAGAGGCTCCCCTTCCTGCTGTCCACATTGCTTTTGATGCAGCCCAGGATACAAATGGCTTTCTGGGCTGTGAGTGCACATCGTCAGCTCATGTCCAGCCTCTCATCCATCAGCACCCCCAAGTCCTTCTCAGAAGGACTCTTTTGTTCTGTTCATCCTCCAGCTTGTATTGACACTGGGGTTGCCCTGACCCACTGCAGCACCTTGCAGTTGGTCTCTTTTGGATGAAATTCCCATAGATCCACTTCTCAAGTTTGTTCAGGTCCCTCTGGATGGCATCCCATCCTTCAGATGTGTCAACCACGTCACTCCGCTTGGTGCAAACTTACTGAGGGCACACTCAATCCCTTCATCAGTGTCATTAATGAAGATACTAAATAACAGTGGCCCCAATATGGACCCCTGAGGAACACCACTTGTCACTGATGTCCATTGGGACATTGAGCTGTTGACCACTACCCTCTGGATGCAACTGTCCAACCAATTCCTTATTCAATTAACAGTCCACTCAACAATCTTCTCTCTCCAGTTGAGTGGGGGAAGTGTGTCAAAGGCCTTACAGAAGTCCAGATAGATGACATCCATTGTTCTTCTCTTGTTTGCTGATGTAGTCACTCCATTGTAGAAGGCCACTAGGTTGGTCAGGCATGTCTTGCTCTTGTTGAAGTCATGGTGGCTGTCTCAAATAAACTCCCTGTCTTCTATGAGCCCTAGCACCACTTCTGGGAGGATCTCTTCAATAATTTTTCCATGTACAAATGTGAGGCTGACAGATCAGGAGTTTCCAGGGTCATCCTTTCTACCCTTTTTAAAGGTGGATACATTTTTTCATTCATCAGAGACTTCACCTAATTGCCAGGACTTTTCAAATATCATGGAGAGTGACTTGGAAACTAAATCAGTCAATTCCCTCAGAACTCTGAGATGTTTCTTATAGACTTGTGTACATCCAGGTTCCTCAAGTGATCACGGGCCTGATCTTCTCTTACAGTGGAATAGATTTTGCTTCCCCAGTCCCTGTCTTGCAGTCCCTCTACTTTAGAGGTGTGGAAAGTGAGGGTGTCATTGCAGATTGAGGCAAAAAAGCTGTTGGGTACCTCTGACACGTTCTTGTCCATTGCTACCAGTTTACCAGCCTTGTTCATTGTGGGAGTTACAATTTCTTTGACCTTCCTTTTCTAAGCAACATACCTGTATTCTTTGCATACTTGTTATTCTTTGCCAAGTTCAGCTCAGGCTGTGCCTTGGCCTTCCTCACTTCATCCATAAACAACTAGGCATAATCCCTATACTCTTCCCAAGACACTTCTCCTTTCTTTCACTGACTGTGCATTTGCCCTTGTCCAGCAAGTCCTGATTTAGCCATAATGACCCCTTTCCTTCCTTGTCCACTTTCTTGCACCTGGGCATCACTGGTTCTTGTGCTCTATGGAAAGAGTCCCCAAAAATCTGCCAGTTCTGTTCTTCTCCCTTGTCACTGAAGGCAGTTTCCTAGGGCATCCTACTGACTAGCTCCTTGAAGAAACTCATCAGCACTTGTATTGGAATGTCATCGGTTGTCTCCTTTGTGTTTTAAAAGATAACACTAATGACACACTGATTGACACGAGTGCATTTTTATCTGTTTTGAATTCATTTGAGACAGGTAGTAAATGTTTGATTTTGTTTTGATTTTGTACCTTTTGTATTCAAAGAGTAAGAGTTGTCATTTTCAAGAGGATGCACAATGAGGACATTATTTCTGTTTTAAAAAATTATAAAAAACCCCTTCTTTTATATCATTGCTTTGAACTGCTGGTTTAGGAAGTCAGCCTTGATGATGCAATAATAAACAAAGCCTTCAAGTTTAAAAGGTGTCTTCATCTTCTGTTGAACAGAGTACAGTCTGAATTTTAAAACCAAAGAGGTGGGGCTGTGCAGTTGTATTGGCAACAAATCTAATTTTCAAACTGCCCTCTAGTGCCAAGACCAGAAGAATATTTGAAAGGACTGTGCAGAGGATTATTGTTTGATCCCTGTTTCAAGCTCAGGATTTGCACTGTCCTCCACTCCCTGTTGATAAATATCTCAGCTTTTGCAGGCAAAGCCAGGCACTTTGCCCATGACTCCAAAAGCCTTCCTAGAGATTAGGCAAGCTTGCCAGGAGCAGGATGCAGCTCAGAGGATGTCAAGACATAAAAGGGACACAAAGAACAGTTGGAACACCATCTTCGCTTTTGTGCTAGGATTTCTCTTTTTTATTATTATTAACATTATTTCAACCAGAAGCACCATGGAGATGAATATATAGTGTGAGAACAAAAGCAGGTCAGTTTCCCTAACTTGCCTACATTTGAAAGTAGAAAAAACGTAATGAGGCTGAGAAGGAGTGTCTGAGATACAAGATAAAGGTAAGATTTATACCTTACTCCATGCATTTAGGAGCTATTTGATTTTGTACAATTTCTACTGTTAATAGTATATCTTCATTGCTTCCATGATACCAATCACATTTCTTTTGAATTTATCAGGAAATGAAATGTTTCCTCTCTTTAAATTTGTGTGCAGGGAAGAGGAAGAAATGAGGAGCAGGTCATCTTTGCACCATATAACACTGGGTTTTTCTAAAGAATTTCTTTAGTACTTCAAATTCAAATACTATGGGAGACAATGAGAAACTTTTCTATTTACTATTCTCAGACCAGTCTCATGACAATAATTTACACAGGAGCAACATTAGTTACAGAAAAAGGAACATTAATGAAAAGTTAGGCCTATTAATTTTCATATCCTATGGATCAACAATTTTTTGAAAACAACACAAATGATCTTTCCTTTTTTTCTGCTTATTTTTACTTGTGGTTCATTATGTTTGTGGTTTTTTATAGATCTTAATTTTATGTATAGCTTTGCTTTTCACATAGTTGAAATCTAGGTTAAAACAGTGCTGCGTCCTTGCCTTAAGAAATAAATTTAAACACAACCAATCAATTAATTGCATTTTGTTGATGATTATAATTGTTTCTATAGTTTATTCTAGCAATTACTTATACTGCAATTTGAACACAGAGACCTATGAATATTAAATCAAGATTCCAGGACTTAACATTTAAGAATGATAAGAAAAAAAATAAAGTGAACATTTTCTATCTTCCATATTATTACTTATAATGGAAATATGTGAAATATGTGAATTGGTCAGAGAAGACCAAACTTGTCCTTAGTTCATAAAAATAAGTCTGATTATTAATTTTAGGTTACTTTTCAACATTGTCATACTAAATCAAAAACCTAAAAGCTATCTCTTCTGTCTAGCAATATATGAACAGTTTTAATTTATCTACACAAGCATGCACATATGTGCATACATCCACTGTAAGCATTATTGCTAACTGGAAGACAGAAGGGGAAGAAAAGACTTTAAAGACTGTTTTCAAGCTTAACTTTAAAGAGACAAATTCTCTCAGCAGCTGTTGCTATTCATTGAAAAATATTGTTCTTAGCAGTCAAAAAAAGTGCTGTTCTTCACTGGACATTCAAGAGAAATCCTTTGTAGAAAACAGAATTGGCTTATGACAAAAGGAGAAAGTTTACAGCGAGCAGAAATGGTGAAGGCGCAAGCAATGTCTCAAGTAGCTTTCAAAAGCTCTAATAAATACAATTATTTAATAAAAAGCATACTTTCTTCTCCCCAAATGTTCTAGGTCCAGGAATTCTGTGCTTACTGAGAAGGCAAGCTTCATATTTTGTCTGTGAACATAATAGGATCCCTATGAGCATTCAGTTTCATGACAGAGAAAAAAAATTGACTGGACAGAAAAATTGCCTATATAGAAGGACTTTCAAAGCTAAGATAACCCTCTCTACAATAGTTACAAAATTCATTGGCAACCTGAAGTGACAATCACTGTAATTGAAGAGACGTAGGTTAGAATCAATGATTTAACTTTAAAGTACTAATCAGAGCTATAGTGTTGATCGATTTTGAACAATTTTAGCACTACTTATCAAATGATCTGGACTGACAATTAGTAAAGCATTAAAATAATGAGTTCAGGAAGAAACAAAGGGTATTGATCAGAAACAGGGAGGGGTAGCAAAGAAGAAAAGACAGAATATATGAATTTCAGAACGAAAAATACTTTTTAGGTGAGGGAGACACAAATTCACCACTGTCTAAATACGGATAATAAACAAAAGCTTAATTTAAAAACAAACAAACAAACAAAACCCAACCAACCAACCAAAAAAAAAAAAAAAAAAAACCAAAACAAAAAACCCCCCAAAACAAACAAAAAACCCCCATGAAGTTTAGATGAATGCTGCAACAGAATAATGGCAACGGGAGTTATTCATAGTGAATAATGTATTCAGAAGTAATAAATATTTCTGGCTGAACATAAATTATCCAAACAGCATGCATAGGCACAGATATTATCTAGACATTACTAGAAGCACTGTAGTCTTTGGAACACCGCAGCGATATTTTCTATGAATTTTCTGATGTCGTTGACCACCTCCCGTTCACTGCTCCTATTGGGCAAACACTATGTTTTCAACATATTTCCTTGTTCAAAGGGAACTCAAAGGGCCTGAGATCTGCCCCAGAAAAATTTATTGCCATTTTGCATCATTGAAGTAGCTCAAAGCAACTGCAAGCATAAGAAGAGGGAAGTGTCTTGATTTCCACTACCCAAAAAAAGCGTATGTATGTGAAGCAAACACCTATCAGAGACAAGTAATGGCATCTGAATGCTCAAAGAGAGAAACCTAATTTAGAACCACTGAAACAGTTCAAGTGGTGAATGTGCAAATTAGGACACTTTCCATCAAACTGATGTATGTCCACTCAACATGATGCCCTGACTGATGCTGTCCTTTGAAACAATATGCTGTAAATACAAATAAACCCTAAATAGCAGCTGGTCTGGACTCCTTCAGAGATTTTGAGGGCTTACAAACTGGAGAGTGAGGTTTAAAAATACAGCCTTAAACCCAAATTACATCCATGAGTCATCCCTGTCTGTCCTAGCTAAAAACAGAAGTCATCAGCAGCTTTGAGGAAAAGATTTTCAAAATCTTCAGCAGCATAACCACACCATATGAATTACACTATCCTAAAAAGACTCATTTTACACAGGACCAGACCAGCTACTCTTTTGTCATCATATATATTGGAAAGTGACTGATTAAGAAGAAGGGAACAAATAGTGTCCGACAAGCTATACATTGTAGATTTCTTCTTGTTGCCATTTCAAACTCTTGACTGCAGACACACATTGCCCTTGTTTATCTCTCTGAAATGCAAACAGGCTTCAAACCACTCAATGCTTCTTCCACTTTCAGATCTATTTTTTACTGGCTTTGTAGGATAAAGCTCTTCATGGAAACGACAGAGCCTCTAGTACACGCATCAGTTATTCTCTGGCTGCATCAGTAAAATCATCCCTGACCTACTTTTCCTTATTTTTTTCCATCTGCACTTTAGATTGTGTTCCTATTTACAGGGCTACTACTTGATGCCTTTCATTTCTTGTTTGAAAATGTCTCATATATGAGAACTTTTTTCTGCTACTGACTTTTCCATTCCCTTACTTTGAGATTTCCCCACATGTTATTACAAATAATCATGCTATTTAGGTTAGTGACTAATAGCCAACAGAGAACGGGATAGCCTTGTAACAGACTATCAGACAGAAAAGGAACATGTGCAACTGCCAAGTCTTAGATTTAGATGCCAAATCAAGATTTAGATATCAAGTCATGACTGAAATCACTCCCCTTGACATTCTCTTTTAAAAATTATGGAGGAGACTACAGATTAACCAAATGGAATAC